AAAAACAAGAAACGTGGCCGAGGCATCTCGGCGTGGCCACGACCGAGATGTCTCGGCCACGCCTGGGAAGAAGCTGAGTGCCTGAGGCTGGAACGCTGAGTCCCTGAGTCCCTGAGGCCAGGGGCTAGGGGTCCTTTGCTGTGAAACTTGGCGAAACGCGGTATTTTTGCTGGCAAACTACGGGAACCCGATAAAGCTGCAACGAAACCTCTATTTTTGCAAAGGAAACTTCGAACGGACGACATTTTTGCTGCCAAACTTCGAAACAGCAATATTTTTGAAATTAACCCAAGAAGAGGAGCCGACAGCCATAGCTGACCGGAGGTGTTGACCGACGGTTACCGGAGTTGACCGGGGTTTGACCGGGGGCTATAGCAGCGTTGACCGGCGTTGACCAAGACCGTTGACCACGAGTTGACCAAGCTGGAGTCGGTAACATCTCGCCAAGCCTTCAGCCTATCCCTCACCCTATGGATGTGCACACACCCCTTGGTACTTGCTGAGTCCAGTCTGTCTGTCTATTCTTTCTGCATTGAGTCTCTTCTGTCCTAGGTGATAGTACTCTGTGGATGAAGGATAGGGTCTTGTTGACCAAACCCACACGGGATGAGTAGGGCTAAAAGCTGTGTCTGACGACTCGACTGTCCCAGAGGTCAAACCCTCTCAAGGACCGGTACTGACCGGCGGGCTGCTCGGTGTGGCACGGTTGGCCTCGAAATCCGAGTTGTGGGCTGCACAATAGACCGTCTAAGTCTTGAGAGACCTGCTGATCGCGTCGTCCTGTCTGCGACGTTAAATAATTCCTGAGGAGTTTGGGGGATCTCCTTAAATGCCTCCTGATCAGCAACAGGTCTAGTAGTGACAGCCATAGTGTAGGTCTAGGCTAGAGACCATAGTTGGCAGGATCCTTGTCAGGATTCTGTAAGTCCTTAGATTGAGTCAGTAGGTTTGTCAGTCAGGGGTCAGAGTCTAGGTGGTGAGGAGTGGAATCGTCCTGATTGTGCACCTGTCACCATGGTTGAGACCCGTAGTGGGATAGACACCAGCCCATACACCCCTGAGCAGCAAGAAAAGATGACCGCCTTAGTGAAAGAGAACAAGGAGAGGAAAGAGCGCGAGAAGCAGGCGAAGCTAAAGGCTATCGCAGAGGAGCAGGCGGCGAAGATGAAGGAATTGGAGGAGGAGATGGAGAAAAAGAAGAAGGTTGTTGAAGAAGAAGCGGCAGCAGAAGAAGAAAAAGAGAGAATGCGTATTGAGAGTAGAGAGGGAAGTAGTGGCACAAAGAGGGACACAAACGCAGAGATGGAGAGGAAAATAAGTGAGTGGGTTGCTAATTTATCGTTGGGAGAAGATGAGGAGCCAGAGTCCTATGTGATTCAGGAGGAGAGGGATGCGCTAGCCAGTGAGCTAGCAGCCATGACGG